GTCATTTATTATCTGCATAAACTTGGGCATGTCAACTTTTACGGACTTGAAATCTATCCTTTCCTCTTCCTTGGAACTTACAAAATTGTCATTCAATGCTTTCACTAGCCACATTAAGAAAAGTATAGTGTACAGAACTAATAAGGAGACAGTACAACCAAATTCTGCTTTTCTTGGTCAGACACATCTGTAGCATCATGTTCTGTTTGGATTACCACATCCTGGAAGAATACTGATAAGGTGGAAAGCATCCAAAGGAGATAAAGCAGGATGCAAAAGTGCTTCAAAATTATGTCATACAAAGATCGGTTGATTGTAACTAGGGATATGGAGCCCAGAGAAGATCTAGGGAAGGGGGTAAGGGAATGACAACAATCCCTCACATACTTGAAACCAGTTATGCACAAGTGGGATTAGATTTGTTCTGTTGGGCCCAGAGGGTAAAACTAGGAACAATGGATGGAAGCTGCAGAGACAATGAGTCTGGAGAGAAAGAATTCCTAATAATTAGAACTATCCAAAAACGGAATGGTTTGCCTTGGAAGGAAGTAGACTACCCCTCAATAGAGGCCTATAATCAAAGTCTGGATGACCACTCTCTGGTAGGACTAGAAGGCTTCTGAGATCCTATCCAATTTAGACTCTGTGAAAGATCTTACCATATACATAATAAAAGATTCAATGTAGTAGGTGAGCCTTTCTTTAAGGCTATATTTTGCTGTCAGTTAAATGCTTTTTCTGTAATCAAAAAAAAAATAAAAAACAAAAGGCTCTTGTGTTCTATGTGCAATTCAGTTAATTGCATTATTATGAAAATGTGTTCTACCATAAAGAATTGCTTGCAAAGCCTGTTTCCCTACTAATATTTTCATCAATAAAAACTTTAATATGTATGTAGCTCATTCTCACAAAAAGGAGAATGCAAACCTTTGTTTCATTCATTGATTATTTATATTTATAATTATTGATTATTAATTATTGATTAATTATAATAATAGCTAGAGCTGACATTTATATAGTGTTTACTATGTGCCAGGCACTGTGCTAATTTTACAGTTATTATCTCTTTACAATTATTATCTCACTTGGTCCTCACAACAACCCTATCAGGTAGGTGCCATTATTATCCTTATTTTACGTATTAGGAAACTGAGACAAACAGAGGTTAAGTGATTTGCCCAGGGTCACATAATTAATAAGTGTCTGAGGCCACATTTGAACTCAGGTTTTCCTGACTGACTAGGCACCACCTAGTTATTAATGTTTCTTAATTAGCCCTTTGGGGTAATAATGTTTTATGATTTTTTTTTTACTTTCTTAGTACTTTCTCCTTAAATATCTTTTAAAAGTATTATTTAGGGGCAGCTAGGTGGTGCAGTAGACAGAGCACCGGCCCTGGAGACAGGAGGACCTGAGTTCAAATGTGACCTCAGACCAAACACTTGACACTTACTAGCTCTGTGACCCTGGGCAAGTCACTTAACCCCAATTGCCTAAAAACAAACAAACAAACAAAAAAGTATTATTTAATTCTTCCAAAATCGTGTCACCTCCAGCATGGAGATATTTCCTTACTGGGTCCTGTCTGGTCAAGTCACTCTTCCCACCTTTGTTTTCAGTACTATTTCAACTTCCTTCAAATATCAATGAGGAAAGGAATTATTAAAGTCTAAATGCTGTGGCTTTGTCACAGACAATGAAAAAATTACAGAACTGCAAATTAGCTCCACTTTCTATTTGTTGGCCTCCTACTGATTTTGTCCATAAATGCTCTTGGGATGATATGGCTGAGTTGGGTCTGAGAGCACATTTTCTGAATACCTGTTTTCATGTTCACTGTTTTTCCTTGTTCTATGAGCCAATATAGATCACAATCTTTTATCACTCCTCTCCATAATGTTTTGTGAACAACTTTGTATTTGGAACTGGAGTTACCTTTGGTTGCCATCTCATTCCACTTCCCAAAGAGAGTAATTGTCTTCTGGCTAAAATGGTTCTTGAGTGCTTTTGGCTTCCTTATTACGGGTATTCCTTTACACTGGCTAAGTTTTTGCAGGAAATGGTGATAATCCAAATGAAAATAGTTGCTTTTTTTTACATTCCCCATTTTTGGCACAAATAGTCCATTCCAACAGGTCAGGCTGAAGCTATTAGACTACAGTGACTTATCTTTATTCTTTCTTCAAATTTGATGTTAATTTTTACCTTTTACTTAACTAGCTGGCCTGACTAGAGATAGTTGATTCTTACAAAGCTTCCAATCAGTAAATAGTTGTATCTTGTCTGTAAGACAGTCAATTTTTTTTTTTGGAAAGGTAGTTTGGTGCTTACTGGATCCATTTCTTTCCAACTCACTACTCATGATATGTGGGTGTGATGTTTCTGAGTAACCCATAAGTCTTCAACTTCTTCCTCTTCTCAAATACGAGTTATATTTTTCAACATATCTTTCACCCTCACCCCTTGTGCCCACATTCACCCTGAAGTTAACAAAGGATTAAAGTAAAGGCTGATTAATCACAGAATCAAAAATCTTTGTACAAATTCTGCCACCAAAAATATCAAGTCTCTCCCTACTTTGGTACATTCTCTACACCACTATTGCCAAAGTAATTTTTAAATGCAAATCTGACCACATTAAGCACTCATTAAAATCCAGTGGCTTCCTATTGCCACTTGAATCAAACATAATCTGCTCTATTTAGCTTTTAAAGCCCTTCACAACCTTACCCCTATCATTGTATCTTTTTCTCTCTCACTCTCTTCTTTCTTTCTCATGTAGCCAGACTATACTCTTCTCTGTTCCTCACACATGATACTCCATCTCCTATTTCTCTGTGTTTGCACTGGCTGTCCCCCCTCCCCCAAGCTTGGAACACATACCCTCTTTACCTCCACCTGAATCGCTCTCTCTCTTCAAAATACAGCTCAAGCACCACCTTCTACATGAAACTTTTCCTGATCCCCTCAACTACTAGTTCCTTCACTCTCAAACTACCTTATATTTAACTCATATTTACCTATTTATATTTATTCCCTGTAAGTATAGCCTTGCCTCCCCAAGTAGAATGTAAGTTCTTTGTAGGTAGGAGCTATTTCCTTTATTATATTTGTATTCTCAGCGTACAGAATAGTGCCTGGCAAAGTGTCATCTCCAGCAAGAAGAGTTTTCTTACTGTGTACTTCGTCTGGTCCGGTCCAGCCACCTTTCCCAGCTAAATTTTAAATACCATAGATTAAGCACTTAATAAATGCTTATGATTGATTTCTAGTATACTAGAACTTACCAATGCCACAATCCACTGGCATAAACATAATAGATTAGTTCCTTCTCTAACTTCAACCACGTGCCACCTGTCAGTTAACAGGCTGATGGTGTCTAATTAGTTTGTCAATTCATTGGAAATGGGTAAAATAAACCAAAACACAAGGGTTTGAATCCAGTCTGAAATGATCCCAGAGGAGCTAGCCCTGAACTGGCCTCAGTTTAGATAATCCCTAAGTGGAAAGATCAGTTTTCAAAAATGTCCCCAAGAAATTCTTTTCTGTATAGATGCAATCCTACATGTATAAAATGCCAATTATTATTAATCCTCCTCATGCCAAATTTCCAGTGCCACCTAGACCTGGTGCTGGTGGTTCTGTACTAAATACCCATCAATATGCCCCATGTGAGAAATATGACAAGAAATACATCATTTTCACTTAAGAGAAAAGCTGAAGATATCAGGGCAGCTCTAAACTCTCTTAGTTCAGGTTCCATTTTGGGACAAAATGAAGCACTTGTAAATCATTTTAAAAAATCAACAAAAGTAGGCTTACTTACCATGTAACAAGCATACAGTGACACTAAGCTTTCCTCATCTCCACATAGAAATGTATCTAGTCATCAGAGCAGGATATGGTAAAGGACACGGTAACTCACCTGGTCTACAGAAATCCACCAAGTGCAAAGGGCCCTTACTGCCCACAGCTAGAGCTATTTGTGCTTTAGATTACCACTGAAAAGAGCTGGTTTGTTTTTTTTTTTATAAACAGCAAGGCTCTCCAGATGCTCCTGTTGTCATTCTACTACTCCCTCTGGCTGACAACCAAAAACCTGTTCTTTGTCCTTATCATGACCTCCAATTATTAACTCCTTGAAGGCAAGGGACTGTCTTTTGTATCCCTGGTGCTTAGCAAAGTGCTTAGTACCTAGTACACATTTAATAAATGTTTACTGACTGAATGAATCCTTTAGTTCTTTTGGAGACCATCTAACCCTGCAGCGGCTACACTTTCCCTCCTTCCCTTATTAAACCAGTTGAACCATACACTATTCTCTTGAATCCCTTGTCCCCTTACCCTATCATTAATCTTGCCCTGCCAAGCCTCAACTTCTCTGGGCTTAAGTCATGCATCTATGAAATGATGGGTTTGACTAGCTCAGGGTTTTGTGGACAGAGGGTCCTTGGAAAATTTTACGTCTTAATTACAATAAAATTGGTTTCCTTTGTAATCCTATTGTTTTATTCATTTAAAAATATTATTCTGAGAGAGGGGTCCACAGGCTCCACCAGTCTGGCAAAAGGGTCCATGACATACAAAAAGTTTCAGAATGCCCTTCCAGCTCTAAATCCAACATTCTATGAAGTTACATCTGAAACATCCAAAAGACAGGTACTGCTTGGACATCCCTTCAAAGAAGCCAAGTGAAGTGACTTAGCTTCTATTTTCTATACAGAAATTTATAAAGCAAGACAAACTCACACTCTACTTTGAAAGGAAATCACAATCAACAGTGTTTCCAAAGGGATGGCTAAACATAACTGACAGATGCCATTTTGGAGTGGTACAAAAGCAAAAAGCATAATATGCCTTTAAAGTTTTCTTCCAATATTTCAAACTTCCAAAAGGAACTGCATTAACCTCCAAATTATTCCTCTATGAAAATTTTACTTAGAGCAGGCTATAAAACATCTTCGGAAGGCAACGACTCCGAAACAACCAAGCGGCCGGGCCAAGGTTACCGCAGTGACTCAAGCGTCAAACTGTACATGGGCATGTAGAGACTTGGGCCTGGGGTAGGAGGGCAAATTTTCAGACTGAGGTGCTACTGCGCTGGGATGGGGAGAGAGGGGAGAGTGACAAAAAGGAATGGGGAGATGGGCTCCCGGAACGGTCCAGGCTCTAGGCTTCCCCGTCTCGGAGACGATGCCCGTTCCCCAAAGTACTAGAGACCACCCCTCGGGGCTCGCGCAGGAGAAGCCCATTAAGTTAAATGCATGAAGACAAGCAGCAACCTCACCGGGGGCATCGCCGTACTCGGTCTGCGTGCCACCCCTAGGGTGGAGGAGAGCGGAGAAGGTGGGAAGGGGTACGGACAGAGGGGGAGGAGCGCAGTTCACATGACTCTCCGCAGTCCAGCGGTTGCTGAGCACAGGGCAGACCCGGGCACCGCTCCGACTCTGCGGCATCGCGGGTACGGCTGGAGGGAGGCGCGCGGCCGAGGGGGGGAGGGGGAGTCACGCTCAGGGCGGGGGGGGGGCGCGCTCAAAGTGGGGGGAGGGAGGAAAAGGGCGGTGCGCTGGACCAGAGGAGGGAGGGGCGGAGGGGCGGAGGGGCAGGGCCGAGGTTGGGACAGAAGTTCCTCCAGCCCCCGCGGACTCGGGGAAAGTTCGTGACTTTCAGGCGCCGCGCCAGTTCTCGCCCCCGGCCCGGCCGGTAGCAGGGCTGGAGCGCAGAGGGAAGGGCGCGGGGTACAGGCTCCGGCTGGATCGTTTCCCCCCGCTCCCCGCCCCTGCCCTAGCACCTGAGGCCCCGGCGGCTCTCGGTGCACTTCCTCTCCTTCGCCCGCACTTTACCCACCCGGAGGTGAAATCCTGATGCACACTCAGCAGCCTCTCTTTCAGGGTCTCCAGCATCTTCGCCGCCGCCGCCGGGGTCTCTTCCTCTTCCTGCTCCCCCTCCCCTCCGTCCGGGGCGGCCCCCTACCCCACAACTGTCACCCGCATACACATCCCCACGCCCTGGCACTGCTCCTCTCACACCGCCCCGTGCTCCCAGCGCGCCGCCCTCCGCCCCGGGACAGCAGCCGCAGCCCCCACCTTCCGCGTTGTTCTCCGCCCCCCACCCCGGTAGCCACACCCCTACCCCGCCCCCGCGCAGCCGTAATAGCTCCAGCCTTGGCTCAAAATTCGCTGAGGCTGCAGCGAGGCGGGCCGGGAACCCTAGGGAGGCCGGAGGAGGGCGCACCGCGCGTGCGCGCCTCCGCGCGTTTCGTGCCCGCGCTCCGGGAAAGCCGCTGTGCAGAATTGAGCCACGCGCTTCCACCCCGCCTTCCCCCCAAGAAAGTGAGAAGCTCCGGGAAAACTGTTCATGGCTTTCTGCAATTGCAAAAGGGTGATAAAGGACATTTAGATGACTCAGTGGTTAGAGCGCCTGGCTTGGAGTCAGGAAGACCTCAGACACTTAGCTGTCTCCCTTGGCAAGTCACTTCGAGTCACTTTAACCCTCAGTTTCCTCATCTGTAAAAAGAGCTAGAGAAGGAAATAGCAAACCACTCCAGCATTTCTGCCCAAAAAAACCCTCAAAATAGGGTCAGGAAGACTCGGACAAGACAAAAAAAAAAGGAGTGATAAAAGCTGACAGTGGTTTCCACATAACAGTGCTGCAAACAATATAAATATTATCATATTAGAAATGAAGAAACTGATGCCCAGAGAGGTTCTGATGACCTGCCTACAAGGGCACCCAGTTAGTATGGATATTCGAGCCTTTTGACATCAAATCCATTGCTCTTTCCACTATGTATATATGAATGCACAATAGTGCACGCATACACACACACACACACACACACACCACACACACACACACACACACACACGGAGGAAAGCACTTTGCATATATTACCTCATTTGATCCTCACAAAATCCCATGAGAGAGATATTATTATTTCCCATTTAACAGATGAGGAAAGGCTGAGGCTAGTTTTAAACTGTGCTCGCAGAGGGGGAAATAGGGGGAACAGAAAACTGAAATAAAGGAAAGAAATTGCAGTAAGACTTGGAACACAAAAGCAAAAATAGATCTAATTAAAAGAGATAAAGAAGGAAACCATATCTTGCTGAAAGGTGCCATAGACAATGAAGTCATATCAATACTAAACATATGTACCAAATGGCATAGCATCTAAACTTTTGAAGAACTTGAATGAGTTACAGGAGGAAATAGATAATAATAGTCAGGAATAATAGGAAGACCTGAGTTCAAAGGTGACCTCAGACACTTAGCTGTGTCACTCTTGGTGAGTCACTTAATCCTCTTTGCCTCAGAGCTGGAGAAAGAAATGGCAAACCACTCCAGTATCTTCATCAAAAAAAACCTCAAAATACGGTCAGTTCCCCACCCCTGGATTAGGACACAAAAACCTCACAACTAAATGCAGAAAAGCAGAAATTGTAAACACATCCTTTTCAGGTCACAATGCAATAAAAATTACATTTAATAATGGGTAATGGAAAAAGAGATTAAAAATTAATTGGAAATTAAATAATCTAATCCTAAAAAACAAGTGGGTCAATGAACAAATCATAGAAACAATGGATAATTTCACTGCAGAAAATGACAATGAGACAACATACCAAAAGTTATGGGATGCAGCCAAAGAGGTACTTAAGGGAAAATGTATGTCTCTAGTTGCTTACATCAATAAAATGGAGAAAAAGTAGATCATTGAACTGGGCATGCAACTAAAAAATACTAGAAAAAGAACAAATTTAAAATCCCCAATTAGACACCAAATTGGAAATCCTGAAAATCAAAGGAGAGATTAATAAAATTGAAAGTAAGAAAACCATGGAACTAATAAAACTAAAAGCTAGTTTTATAGGGGGGAAAAACAACCAATAAAATAGATAAACCATTGGTTAATTTGATTTTAAAAAAAGGAAAAAAGAAGACCGAATTACTAGTATCAAAAATAAAAGGGGTGAACCCACCACCAATGAAGAGGAAATCAAGACAATTGTTAGGAGCTATTTTGCCCAATTATATGTCAATGAATTTGACTATCTCAATGAAATAGATGAATATCTACAAAAATATAAATTACCCAGATTAACAAAAGAAGAAATAAAAGAAATTGAACAAGCCATCAATGAACTTCCTAAGAAAAAATCCCCAGGACCAGATGGATTCACAAGTGAATTTTACCAAACATTTAAAGAGCAAATAATACCAATATTATTTAAACTATTTGGAAAAATAGGCAAAGAAGGAGTCCTACCAAGTTACTTTGATGACACAAATATGGTTCTGATACCCAAACCTGGAAGAGCCAAAACAGAGAAAGAAAACTATAGACCAATTTTTGTGATGAATATTGATGGAAAATTTTTAAATTAAAAAAAAAGCAAAGAGATTACAGTAATATATCACAAGGATCATATACTGTGAACAGGTGGAATTTATATCAGGGATTCAGAACTGGTTCAATATTAGGGAAACTATCAGCATAGCTGACCATATCAATAACAAAATCAATAGAAATCATATGATTATCTCACTAGATGAAGAAAAGGCCTTTGACAAAATGCAGCACCTGTCCTGATTAAAAACACTAGAGAGCATAGGAATAAATGGAGCTACTTTAACATGATAAGTAATGTTTATCTAAAACCCTCAGCAAGCATTGATAAGCTAGAAGCCCTCTCAATACAATCAAGGGTGAAGCAAGGATGCTCATTATCACTTCTATTATTTAATAGTACTAGAAATGTTAGCTATAGCAATAAGAGAAAAAAAAGAAATTGAAGGAATTAGAATAGGCAATGGGTAAACAAAACTATCATTCTTTGCAGCTGATATGATTTTATATTTAGAAAATCCTAGAGAATCAACTAAAAACTACTTGATATTATTAATAACTTTAGCAAAGTTGCAGGATACAAAATAAGCCCACATAAATCATCAGCATTTCTATATATTACTAACAAAGCCCAGCAGCAAGAGATATAAAGAGAAATTCCATTTAAAATAACTGTAGACAATATAAAATACTTGGGAGTCTACCTACCAAGACAAACTCAGGAATTAAACGAAAACAACTATAATACACTTTTCACACAAATGAAGTCATATCTAAACAATTGGAAACATATTAATTCCTCATGGGTAGGACAAGACAATATGATAAAAATGATAATTCTACCTAAATTAATCTATTTATTCAATACCATATTAATCCAACTACCAGATCTCAAACTGTATTATAAAGTAGTAATTATCAAAATAATCTGGCACTGGCTAAGGAATAAAATGGTAGATCAGTGGAACAGATTAGGTACAAATTACAATATAGTAAATTTCCATAGTAATCTAGTATACGATAAACCCAAAGATCCAAGCTTTTGGGACAAAAACTCATTATTTGACAAAATCTTCTGGGAAAACTGGAAAACAGTATGGCAGAAACTAGGTATAGACCAACATCTCCACCATATACCAAGATAAGGTCAAAATGGGCACATGAGTTACACATAAAGGGTGATACCATAAGCAAATTAAGAGCATGTAGAATAGTTTATCTGTCAGCTTTATGGTTAAGGGAAGAATTTAAGACCAAAGAAGATATAGAGAGCATTACAAAATGTGAAATAGATGATTTTGATTATATTAAATTTAAAAGTTTTTATACAAACAAAACCAATGCAAACAAAATTATAAGGAAAGCAGAACACTGGGGGAAATTTTTTTGCAAAAAGTATCTCTGATAAAGGCCTCATTTCTCAAATATATAGAGAACTGAGGCAAATTTATAAAAATACAATTAATTCCCCAATTGATAAGTGGTCAAAGGATACAAACAAACAGTTTTCAGACAAAGAAATCAAAGCTATCTGTAGTCATATGAAAAAATGCTCTAAATCACTATTGATTAAAGAAATGCAAATTAAAACGACTCTGAGGTACCACCTCACACCTGTTAGATTGGCTAATGTGACAAAAAAATAAAATGTTGGATATTGGAGGGAGTATGGGAAAACTGGGACACTAATGTACTATTGGTGGAGTTGTGAACTAATCCAACCATTCTAGAGAGAATTTGGAACTATGCCCAAAGGGCTATAAAATGGTGCATACCCTTTGATCCGGCAATACCACTGCTATGTCTATATCCTCAAGACATTAAAAAAAAAGGGGGGGAGGACCTATTTGTACAAAAAGATTTACAGCAGCTCTTTTTGTGGTGCCTAAGAATTGGAAATTGAAGATATGCCCATCAATTATTTGGCTAAACAATGGCTAAACAAACTGTGGTATATGGTTGTAATGAAATAATATTGTGCCCTAAGAAATGATGAGCAGGATGATTTCAGAAAAAACCTGGAAACACTTACATGAACTGATGCATAGTGAAGTGAGAAGAACCAGGAGAATGTTGTACATAATAACAGCAATATTGTTTGATGAAGAATT